GGGGGGAGTGAAGTTGAAAATTCGGAAACAATTTGTAACATTGTTGAATGTGAAAAGTCCTTTGAGTTTGTCAAATAGTCTTATGGAATTGGCATAGTATATTTGTTACAGCTACTTGGTTATAGGCTGCTTTGAGCAGAAGGGTTTGGGACTGTCAATTTTGTAAATTATAATTTCTTTGGAAAAAAAGTCCCAACATTACCTGTTTCCCTTAGCCTTCAGATAGTTGATTTGTAGGTAGTGTAATTTCTGACCACTTGAAAAATTGGGAAACATCAGTGTGCCTTCTACTTGTTAGGGAAAATATTTTGTATTTGAAAATAGACTTGAGTATACACTATATTCATAATGAATTTATTACTCATGTGTATAATTGTAGTGCCTGCGCTACAACACTTCTCACGAATTCTGGCGAACGACCTGAAGACTGAAATAAAGAAAAGAGACAGAGGGTCATTCGCGCAAGGAGAATGCCATTTATTGCAACAAGAGGGGAGAGTTCCATACTAGTGAGTGGGCACGGTGGAAAACTATCCCCGGTCAGAAGTTCACGTTCTCAGTCACCTCTGGCAATAAGGATGGGCAGGTAACAGGAACTTGCGTTCAGACCTTATTAGAAGGAGAGAAACAAGAAGTATTTGCTAGATAAGCTCTTACTCACAAGCTGGTCAGCAGATCCTTATGGGGGAAGAGCCCAACAGATCCCCCCTCTTTATATATATAAACAAAAACGAGCATCTGTCTTAGGTTGCCTGGGATGTTGACATCTGCTTTATCTGACATTGAGAAGCCTGCCCATGCTCTGCAGACCCTCTATGTTAGGTTGACAGATGTCCCCAAGTCTTAAGTGTCATTGATTGCTCATTTGTCTTGCAGGCTCCACCAGGCCTGCACTGAGGGGTTGGTTATCTGCTGCCAAGGAAAGCATGATTTGATTTGTTTGAAAATGTCGCTGGGCTTGTGGCCTTCTTATGTGGCAAAGGCAGACTAAGACCAAAGCTGAGCTTTCCAGGGCCATAATCCCAAGGACTAGTGACCCATTCCAAACCTTAATCGATCTGTCAGCTGTGGTCCCTTTAAGAGGAAGTCTCCCAAAAGTGGAGACACCCTGGTTTCAAAAATCTTGATTTGGGAAAATTAAGAGAGAAATTTGCTGATGAAGTTTTAAAGTGCACAACTGTACTAGAGAATTGATATTATTTTGGGAACTTAAGGCAGAGGCAACCTCCCCTGAGAGTTTATTCAGCATGCCTGCCGTGTCAACTGGCTGAGAGATAGCAAAGCCAGAAAGTGTGGCTGTCGTGGTGGCAGCTGCAGTAGTGGCCACAATGGCCGCCATGATGTCAAAGTCTCTCTGTGTCGTGTAAGGATGAGCTGGTTCTCTCGGGTGTTCCACTGGCATAGGCATGATACCAGGAACACGGGCCACCAAAGCTGATATTTCACCACATCTTCTCAAGCTGATGCATTCTGGCATCAGGACAGGCAGATTTCCTCATGAAAGCCCAATAGGTCTTCTGAGGGCTGTTGTGTAATGTCAGCGGCTCCAGCAGTGCAGAGCACCCCCAAGGACAGGGATCCTGCCCAGTCCTTGAATGTTGACTGCAAAACTCTTTGTCCATGTTCTGTTCAAATACTGAAAAGGGGCTTTTGCTACTCATCACGGTCCATACCAGTGTCCAATTGTTCTAAATGGGTCCTTTTTTTTCCCCAAAGGGAAAAGCTGGCAAAATGAATTCTGTGTTTCAAGGTGTGTCCAGGGCAAACTGCTAGTCATCCAGTTCTTTGTCGGCTCTGGGATGAAAACTCCCGGGTTTGGGAAGTTGAGGCAGTAGATCTGTTGAGGAACTGGAAATCTCAAACCGACTGTTTCCTTTCTTCCTCGGACTGTACATTCGATGACATCAAGGGTCAGGAGCACTGGTTCAGTGGATCTCTCTCGAACTGGCTTAGGCAGGCTCCCACAATCTCAGGTCCGGTTTTTCTCTGCTCCTTGCATCTCAGCAAACATCGAGCTTTATTCTTTTCCTGAAATTTTTGAGGCTTAATTTATCTAGGCTATAACATATGTTCCAAATAACTTTTGAAAATTACTTGAAGTTTGTGAGTACTCTTTCTAATCCAATTTGTAAAGCTGTCGCTAGCTGACAAGGCCTCATTTGTACCTTAGCTGACATGGCCTAATTTGTATTTACACTGACTCCTTTGTAGGTGGGGTCTAACAGGGCAGCAGTTTCCCTGAGGCTTCTTCTAAAAACCCTTTTTTAAATCATGTATTAACTTCTATTCTCTAGATTTCCTTTTCTGACCATAAAAATTCAGGAGAATTCCTGTATCTTCTCTGCTAAACTCTATAGAATCATCCATACAGACTCCCTTTGTTCTTTGGCCATGCTGCAGGCTTCTGCTCTTTTTTCACCAACTGGCTCTGAGGGCTCAAATCACCAACCTTTCCTGTTAAGACACTGACAGGCTGGATGCTCCTTTTGGCTATATCCAAAGCAATTTGGGTAGCTTTTTAACTATATCTGAAGCAATTTAAGTATCTTTTTAATCATATCCAAAGTAATCCAAGTAGTTCACATTCACACATTCACAATCGTATTTTATACATACTGGTGTGACCACACCACACACACAGACCATGCACACATCTCTCATCTTTCCTTTTGCCTAGCTTATGATTAGTTTATTGAAATGAAACATCCTTAATTGAAATCTCTTGTAATACAGCAGCTATAGCCAATCCCTGAATCATGTGCATCCAAAATCTGAACAAATCCAAATTTATCCATGTTGTCTTTCTTTCTCTACAAGAACTTAAAACAGTTTCTGACTGGCTGTATTAATAGCATTTTCTATACATTTGGCATCAGCCATGGCAGCAGCTCTCAAGGCTGCGAGCTTCCTAGGTTTTGGCCTTGGACTTCCTTGCCTTTCCCCTCTGGGCCTGGGCTGGCCTGTTTTAAGTCATCTGTGGCTGTTTTCCTCTCCTAGATCTCAGGCACCAACCTGGTCCCCTATTTTCTCCTCTGTTAGGACATTGCCTGAGCATGTACCTTTTCTGAGTACATCCAAAGTAACTTCTAGAATGCTCTGTGCCTCTATTCCTCCCTATGTCTTTCTTTTTCTGTAGGAATAACATATCCTTAACTGAAGTTCTTGCTGGCCTGATAGCTGAATAAATCTTAATAAACTCACCTATGTCACTTTCTATAAGCTCTTAGCGAGGCCTGGCATGCTGCATTGGTGTTCTCATAGGCCAATTGCCTCAATCAAAAGTTCAACACCTCTATCTCGCATTATTCTGGATGATGCCTCCATTAGCCTAGAGACAAAATTCTGACATAGCTCCTCAGTTTCTTGCCTGCTCTTTATAAAGCCTTTAGCCTGTGTCCTAGCGGCTGAAAGCTTGTTCTAAGTTCTCTTGGCAGCTGTGCCGATCTGCTTATACACTGCTATCTTAAAACCCAACTTTGATCTATATCCTTGTGTTGCCCTTTCTCGGTGAGCCCCTCATAAGAAACGGGAAGGTTTTAGGCTATATCTTTCTCAGCTGTGATCTAACAGTGCTCTGTAAATTCTTCTTTCCACAACAAATAGTTCCTTCTGGTAGGCAGGCCTTGGCTCTCCGTTTCCAATCTCCTGGGGCTAAAGCTTCTACAGCGATATTCTCTATTAGCATCTGGGCAAAAACTGCTGTTGGTCTATAATTGAATATGAGCCATCTTTGGTCCCTTGAGTTTAAATGGTATTGGCGTACACGCTCTGCCTGTGATTCCCTGAGCATCCCTATAGGAAATGTCTGAAATGCCTGTACGTCTTCTCCTTCGTCCGTTGCTTCTCTAACCCTAGCTTGCGCAGGAGGGGTGCCTGTACCTTAAGCTGTTATATGCTTGATATTGTCATAGATAAAAGAATATTTCTCTGATCTGAAGAAACCTGCAAAGTTCTTATCTCCTGTGAGAGCAATTCCACTAAATCTTTCGATCCTCTTAACCTCTGTTGAATTTTACCACTAGGTTTCTGCCTCTCTGTATTTCTAGTCAAAAATGAGGGAGGTGAAGACTCTCCATCCTATACTTAGTAACTCTTTCTTCATGCTCATCCCAATCTTTCTGCCCAGTATGTTCTTTATCATCTAGCTGCTCAGTAGGTGCCGAGGTTTCTATCGCACTGCTAACCGGTTCAGGGGCAGATACTTTCTGCTGTCCTTTGAATATGTGCAGTTGAACATTTGTTTCCCCAAGCCCCGGTGCAGCTCTGATACAGCTGTGGTGGTGGCTTCTGCAAAAGGGAAAAAAATCCTTTCTAAAGTTTTAAACCCTAAAATTTTCTGTACTTGTTTCTGCTTTATTTCAGCTCTCCTGGCTACTAAAATATACCCAAGTAAATATATAATCATCTGACTAATAACTCTCTGTCTCATCTCTAAATATATACATTTGTACTCTCAAGGTTAAAATAAAATAAATCTTTAGCAGTCTTTTGCTTAATATTGGTACCTTGTCTCTTTAACAATTCTTTTATCAATACAGCCCTAGAAGCGGAGGTACTCATTTTCCATGAAACCATTTTCAATCCACCCTCCAACCAAGGGTAATCCCTCAGGTAAAAGCCTGGAGGTTACCTCTGGTAGCACTAACTCGGTACCGCTTTCTAATACATCCTCATAAATCCTTAGTTGCTGGCCAGCCTCTGAAGGTGATCTCTCAGGTTCCCCTTTCTTTCCCGATCTCGGTGTAAGACAAAAGCCTGGAGATTTAACTTGGTAGCCCTTTTCAGTTCACCCTCATAACCTCCGAGGGTGATCTCTCAGGACATCCTTGCTTTCCTGATCTTGGTGGGACCTCCATTTGTAGCCCCTGCTCAACAACACTTCTCACAGATTTGGGCGAGGGGCGAGGATTGAAATAAAGACAATAGACAGTGAGTCATTCATGCTAAGAGAATGCTGTTTATTGCAACAAGAGGGGAGTAGTATATACCAGTGAGCAGGCATGATGGAAAACTACCCAGGTCAGAAGTTCAGGTTCCCAGGCCCCTCCGGCAATAAGGGTGGGCAGATAACAGGAACTTGCCTTCAGGTCTTATCAGAAGGAGGGAAACAAGAAGTATTTGCTAGACAAGATTATAGTCACAAGCTGGTCAGCAGATCCTTATGGGGGAAGGGCCCAACATACAGTTATTTTTATTTTAATACACACTTAATTTTTAAAATATAATTATTACATTTTTATTGTTTTGGTGAAAAGTTTTCTCCATGTAGCCTTAGAACTTGCTGCATTGAGCAGGCTAGCCTTGGGCTCATATATCAACATCCATTGCCTCATGCATTCTAGGATTGAAGGCTCCCATGACCATACCCATGTTTTTTGTTTTTGTTTTGTCTTTGTTATAGGGACACTTGTGTTTCAGGCTGACTGGGCTGAGGAAACCCTGAACCTTGCTAATCCCACCATCCCCTGTATTCTCTTTCCCATTCCTAGTTTATACATCCATCCCTAAGTACATTCACCTCTCTACCCGCATAGACATGTGTTCTACTGTCCCTGCCATCCTCTCCTCAACACCCACGGCTCTCATGGCTCCTTTCTTCTCCTTGTTCTAGTCTCGCTCATTCCAGTTTTAAAACAAATGGGTAAGAGGTGAAAGATGGCATCCAGGTATGAGAGAAGCTGACAGTGTTTGATTTTGTGGGATTAGTTACCTGACTTAGTATAATTACATTTCCAGTTACATTCATTGCTGTAAATTTCATTTCAGTTTTCTCCATTGCTCAGTAGGGACCACTGTGTTTATGTGCTGTATCTCCATCGTGTGGATATCAGATGATGGAGATTGAGGATGAATCTTTTTTAGATACTGGGACTACAGCAGCAATAACCATGAGTGCATGTATCTGTTGCCATCTTTGAAGTATTTTCAGTAAAGTCCAGAGAGATTTCTTTGGTGAGATGACATTTCCAGTTTTCAGTTTCTGAGGCTAGCTCACACTGATTGGCTTGGTAACTGCATCACTTTATGTTCCTTCCAATTGTAAGTGTTCACTTTTGCACACATCTTTCAGGTTTACATGGCAAGCATTTGACACACTTACCAATATCCTAGATCTGCAAATATACATTTTATTGTTTTGTTATTTAAAGACTGAGATATCACTAAATATATGTTTACTAGAAACTTATACATGATGTATGGTAATCATATCTACCCCTGATAATACAAGCACACCTGACTCTTAATTTCCTGTGTCTTTTTCCATGTCTGTCTTTCTTTTATTACTAACCCACTGAACTCAGTGCTGTTCAAATGTGTGTGGACATCTTCACTATCATTGGCAACCTACTAGTAGCTATACAACTTAAGAAAAATTACTCTTCCTGCCCCCTGCCCCATAGACATCAGTTGTCATTACCTATTTAGCTAGGTTGGCTTTCTCTTTTGGATTTTGAAATTGTGGTCATGGTTCTCCTATAATTAACTCTGTACTCCTGGGTGGATTTGAAGTCAGGGATCTGCCAGCCTGTTACAGAATTCCTGCTGGTTCTGCAGGTGCCCTGGAACACCCAAATGAACACATAAGAATTATTTTAATTATAATACTATAGGCCTATGGCTTGGTTGTCTCATTGGCTAGCTCTGTCATAATTATTAACCTATCTGTGTCAATCTATGCATTGCTATGAGGTTGCATAGAGTAAAGCCCAGCATAGTTTTGCTCCTTCAGCAGCCTATGGAATGACTCTCTCTGCCTACTTTTCCCAGAATCTTTCTCATCGCCTAGTCCCACCTATCTTGCTGCCCTATTGGCCAACAGTGTTTTATTCATCAACCAATAAGATAAGCATATGCAAAAGGGCAACCCTATCATCAGCTTCTGGCTCAATTAAGTGCTGGGATTAAAAGTGGACAACTGTTCCCTGCTAGACATAGCCTTCTTAAGGACCAAACAACTTCTTCCCAGACTTTTGACTGACATAATCAAGTGTCAAAATTTAGAGATAAAGCTCAACACTATAGAAACATCCAATACCCCAAGTGTCACTAAATGAAGTGCCACTTGGACATAAACATAATTATCATTGGAATTACTAATATCATAACTGGGCTTTCTAGAATCTGCAGTTCACTGCTGAATGATGTGATAATATATTATTTATGATTTATGAAAGCTGGCCTGAGTATTCAGAAAGCAAACTCAGCCTCCAGCTATAGAGGCCAGGCAGTGGTGACACAGACCTTTTAATCTCAGGAATCAGGTGACAAAGACAGATGGATCTCTCTGAGTTCAAGGCCACCCATGGTCAGGAGATTGAATCAGTCTAAAAAAGTAACAGAGTTCTCAACATTAATTGCTGCTCTAGAGAGGTATAAAAGATAGGAGCAGGGTCTTGAGCGATCATTTCCAGGATTCTCCAGCCACATCAAGGAGAGTGTAGCAGTCAGGGGTTGCAGTCTCAGGTTTGGGGGAGTCTGGATCACTTTTCTTTTCTGCCCTTCAGTTTGAAGCTGGAACCCCAGTATCTGTCTCTGGGTCTTTTTGTTTTTCATGTTACAGACACCCATTATCATTTATTACAGAAGTAGCAATTAATATTCTAGGTGTAAACTCACCAGAATCAAATTGTGATGGAGAAAACTTGCCTTGCAAAGTCTGCAAGAAATACAGACTCCAAAAATATGTGTTGCTAAGAACTTGGCTGTATAATCTTGATATATAGAATACATGCTGGGTATTTTACATTTTCAAAAAGGCCACAGAGAAGTGAAATTCCTTCTCACTGGGGCATCAGTGGTAAGAGCTGCAGCCCCTGGATCTCACACAGCCATTTAACTGTCCCCACATCTTAAGTTTCTCCACATGTTTTCCAAGTCAGGGCCCCTCTGAGGAAAGTGACTGTAGACAGGCAGCCTTTTATTTGGTATCACAATTGAAGGTTACATATGGTTCATAAAATGCAGAAATATCAAGCTGCTAGTCACAGTGCACACAGTCAGGAAGAGAGTAATGTGTAGTTGTGTCTCTTGGCTCCATCCTTCTACTAATATAATCCTGTAAATTTAAAAATGCTGCCTGTCGTGTGTGTGTGTGTGTGTGTGTGTGTGTGTGTGTGTTGTTTTGAATATGTTCCAGCTCCATGGCTGTCTGATTGCCACCATTTAATAATTACCTACCCCTGTAAAATTGTATACAAGTCCTAATTAAATGCTTGCTTTTATAGGAGCTGCTTAGTCATCATGCTTCCTACGGGCAGTTGATTAATAATTGAGACAAGATGTCTTTCTTTATGACATCAAGTAATCAAGATAGCATCCCACAGATATTCTTCAGTTAATACTACCTATATACTGAGTTATAGGTTTTTCAGAAACATATATACTAGATGATTCTGTATCCTGACAGTCTGTCAGTTAAACTAACCATCCTCATCTATGTACTCCTAGGAGACAGTGACCTTTGAGGATGTGGCTGTGGACTTCACCTTAGAAGAATGGGCTTTGCTGGATTCCAGTCAAAAGAAGCTCTACAGAGATGTGATGAAGGAGACATTTTTCAACCTGATCTCCATAGGTAACAAAACTCAACATGCTTCCATTGCCCATTCAGTCAGAGAACAATTGTGCCCTGCTTATGTGTGTGGTGTTGGTATTTGAAGCGAATAAGTGGGGAATATAGTGTGAAAACCAATATCATAAGACTTAGGTTGTAATAGTATGTTGAATATTACCATGTCATAATGTATTGTGTGAATTTTCTTCTAGAGAAAACACTAGAAGAAAATACTGAAGAGGACTACCAAGATCTCAGAAGAAATATGAGGTAATTTATATTTGGTAGAACAGAATTTTTATCACACATTTGGGAATCGTGGGACAACTGAGAACCTACCATTGGCTCCAAATATACTTGAGTGAAAAATGATTCTCCACAAATTCCTGTAATGGAGCATTGACTTGTCAATTCAATATTTGAGCATCTCATTTGTGTAATCTATTAATACTACAAATGTGTCATGTAACATTAAGTTCTGAAAGAGCTTTTACAATGGTTTATTACACAAAACTCTACTAAATATCTGAAAGAGTTTGCCATATGTCTATGTATTATTTGAGTTTGCCATATGTCTATGTATTATTTTAAGCCTTCGAATGTAAGTGCTGTGTTTTATTTGCTTTCTTTTCTTGCAACAGAAAAATAACTCTGGGGTAAATCTCACTTTTACTTACACATCCTTGTCTCAGTCCCATCATAAAGGGAAGCCAGGACAGGAACTCAAGCCTGGCAGGAATCTGGAATCAGGAACTGAACCAGGGGTGATAGAGAAATGCTATTTTCTGGCGTGTTCCTCTTCCCTTACTCAGACCCTGACCCACATCTGTAGGGTGACCCCACCCACAGTGGCCTGGGGCATCCCACCTCAGTCAGTGATCAGGAAAATGCCCCTGAAGACATTTCTAAATTTCAGTCTGATGAAGCCATTTTCTCTTTTCTAGTTCCCTTTTCTCAGATTTTTGTCCTAGTTTGTATCAAATTTACCAAAATATCCAACAGGTACCTCTCTGATTCAACTCATGCTCTCCTGGCCATGGCAACAATACACATCATAATTTAAGCCATCATTCATCAGTCAGGAATGTGAAAATGCTTACACAAACGTGTTTACAGGGCAACCTGGGTCATTTTCTCCTTTGAGGATCCCTGTTCTCCAATATCCCTCAATTGGTCAAGTTGATAACTAACTCACTAACACATGCTTAGCATGCTGAATGCCAGAGGCCGCGGTGTTTCACCGCCCTATGTGATTGTTATGACTGTCTACTATCACCAGGACTTTTGCCTTCTGGTCCACTCCTTTTATTCTTCTTACTTGTTTTACCTGTTTCTGTATTTGTATGTATTCTTGTGCACACGAACTGGGCTAATAACTTTTAGGGAAGGGATAATAGAGCAAGAGATCCTTGATCATCAATATTTGCCTTGTCTACACTAATGCTTTTCTCCTTTGTTGTAGAAGTCCAGTGCTTGAGGAAGACTGTGGATATGAATGTGATACTGAGTGTGATAAAAATCAGGAAGCTGTTACAGAGAATATCACCAGTAAAGATATGTCTCCTGGAGTAAGAGTTCATGACAGCCAATTGCTTGTAAGAAACATCATTGGCCATTCATCCTCACATGACTCTCTCAGAGACCTAACTACACAGATACTATCTGTGTATGCCAAAGCTATGGTAAATTCTTATAGATATCAGGGACATTGGAAAGATATCAGTCATTGTGAATCACATGAGGTACTTGAAGTTTCTAAGGAGAAACCCTGGAAATGTCAACAATGTGATGAAGTCTGTAGGAGTGTCTCTTCTGATCATCCTCAGCAGAGAAGTCACACTGGAGACAAGCTCAATGACAGTGACTCTGTGAGTGACACACATGACCAGAATGATAAAGGGATCCATAAAGAAGTGAAACACTTTGTATGTAAGCTTGTTGATGGATCCTTCCTTAATTCTAGTGAGTTTTTCAACCACGAAAAAAGTCACATTGAACAGGAAAGGTTCAATTGTAGGCAATATGGGAAAACATCTAAAAATGCTGAATGTTTTGAGAGTCATAAAGTAACTGACACAGAAGACAAGCCTTATGCTTTTAGGCATTGTGGAAAAGCATTTACCACCTCTAGTATTCTGAATGTTCATGAAAGGATTCACAGAGGAGAGAAACCTTATACTTGTAAACATTGGGGAAAACCCTTCAGTCACTCCAGTAGTCATAAAAAACACGAAAGGAAGCACACAGGAAGGAAGTCTCATGTATGTAGGCACTGTGGAAAAGTCTTCACGGACCTCAGTAGTCAAAAACTACATGAGCAGGCTCACACTGCAGAAAAGCCTTATGCATGTAAGCAGTGTGGGAAAGCATTTACTCGCTCGAGTACTCTCATCATTCATGGAAGGATTCACACTGGAGAGAAGCCTTATGCATGCATGTATTGCAGGAAATCTTTCAGGGATTCCAGTAGTCATAAGAGACATGAACGGAGACACACTGGAGAAAAGCCTTATGCATGCAGGTTTTGCAGTAAAGCTTTCAGGCACTCCAGTAGTCGTAACAGACATGAACAGACACACACAGGGGAGAATCCGTATGCTTGCAGTAAAGCTGTCAGCGACTCCAGTAGTCATAAGAGACACGAACAGAGATACCCTGGAGAGAAGCTTTATGCATGCAGGTTTTGCAGTAAAGCTTTCAGGCACTCCAGTAGTTGTAACAGACATGAAAGAAGGCACACTGGAGAGAAGCCTTATCCATGTAAATATTGTGGAAAAGCTTTTATTGACTCTAGGAATCTTAAGGGACATGAGAGTCTTCACACTGGAGAGAAGCTGTATGCATGCAAGCAGTGTGGAAAAGCATTTACACGCTCCAGTACTCTTATCATTCATGGAAGAATTCACAGTGGAGAAAAGCCTTATGCATGCAAGCATTGCAGGAAAGCTTTCAGGAACTCCAGTAATCGTAACAAACATGAACAGACTCACACTGAAGAGAAGCCTTATGGTTGCAAGCACTGCAACAAAGCTTTCAGGGACTCCTGTAGTCGTAACAGGCATGAAAGAAAGCACACTTGAGAGAAACCTTATGCATGTAAACACGTAGGAAAACCTCCAACATTTCTACTTGTCCTCAACTTGCATGAAAAAAATCCCAATGGAGAGAAACCCTTTATATGTAAAATGTGGGAAACTGTTCATTCATGCTAGTGATCTTAACAGACATGAAAGAGTTCACTCAAAAGTCAGGCCGTATGCATGGAAGTATTTGCAAAGCCTTCACCTGCTCTGTGACAGTAGTCAGTAGGCTCATGCTTGTTGGCATTGTGGGAAAGCCTCCACTAGTTCTACATGGCACTAGAGTAATTAAAACATTCACAGTGGAGAGAAACCCTTTATAAACATTAGGGAATGTGTTTCTTTGTTCTTGTCATTTTCTCAAGCATAAAAGACCTCACACTGGTGAGAAGCCTTATCAGTTTCAGCATGGTGGGAAAGCCTTGACCACTCCAGTTTCTGTAACCCTCATGTAAGAATTTGTACTGACAAGAAGCCCATTGCTTGTACACATTTCAGTATTGTTCAAAATCCTTCCCCAGTTGCTGCTGTCATGATCTCAAGAATTCACCCTGGAGAGAGTCCTTACATTGGGACTATGTGGCAAATCCTTCAGCAGCTTTATATTTTCCCTCAAGTGGTGAAAGCCTTTTTTGGGGGAATAAATGTGGGAAAATATTTAGTGTTTAGAATGAATAAAATTTAAACTGTCAATTTAAGCATTGTGTTTCCAAATCTCTGCATTTCTTATTCTACTTAAATCCATAATGATCTCACAGTGAAAACTACAGTGTGCGGAACTCTTACCAGTATTAATTGTGTGACAGTGCATTGGTTAAATTGCTTCTATTGTGAGGAATGAAAGATGAATGTGATTGGACAGTGAGATGCATCAGCTAGTAATGGTTTATTACCAGAAAATGTAATTATCTCAGTTACCTTCCTGGATCTTACATATTGGCAATAGAGAACCTATTCCTGAAAGCAGTCTTATAGTCACATGCATACTTCCAAATGAATATACACACAGGAATATCAATGAATAGAGTAAAGTATGTTCATAAGAGTAGACTCAACTAACAACCACAATATTTTAATGTGGAAAGAGACATTAAGAGATCTGCAGAAGTGCAATTTTCAGTCCCAATATTTTACTATATAAAGCATGAAAACCACTTGTGGTATGTGCAATGATCCTTGTTTGTCTTCTATATTTACATATTTGTTGTAACTGGGGCTAGGGCAGTAGCTTTGAAAACAACTGAATTCGTGGTCCACTTGGAAATGGTCCCATAGGCTATTTGAAACTTTGTTCCCATCGGTGGAATGGTTTGAGGATGATTGGGAGGTATGGCCTGCGATGAATATCTGTCACTCTAGGAAAATTTAAGAATTGAAAAGGCACTGACACTCCTACTGTATTCTCTCTGCCTCCTGTTTGTAGATTATCATGTGAGCCCTTTGTTGTTCCTGACACGATGTCTTTACCCCACAATTACAGATTGTAATCTCCTCTATCTCCAAGCCTAATATAATTCTTTAAAACAGATGCATTATTAGTTATGCTTGGTCACAGATACAGAGAGAAACTCAGAGAACCACGTTGGGACTTCAGAAGAACTATATCCAGTAAAAGAAATTTTCCAGGCAGACTGCTCCAGCAGCACCCATCAGACCCTGTAATCTACAAGTTCAACTCTGCTCCCAAATCCACACACCCACTGAACTCAGAGGCTTCCTAAGACAGAGATTGTGACTGCACCGGGGACCAAGAGAGAGCTACTTAAAAAATCAGTTGAAAAGAGGATCCCTGAGAGACAGACACCTAATGCAAGCATTGAACCAAGAGTCTGCACCAGTTAGAGGAAGAGATGTGTAGGCACCAATGCAAGAATACTTTCAATTCACCTATAAAAGACACAGGCTAACAGTTGGGTGGGAAAACAAGATCCATCTTTCTGCTGCATAAAGAAGCACACTGTAACCACAAAGACAGACATTACCTCAGAGTAAAAGGTTGGGAAAAGATTTTTCTAATCAAATGGACCTAAGAGACAAGTGGGTATAGCTAGCCTATTATCTAACAACATAGACTTCAAACTAAAATCATCCAAAAGAGATGAAAACGGTCACTTCATACTTACCACAGGAAAAATTCATCAAGATATGTCTCAACAGCCAGGTGTTGGTGGCACACGCCTTTAATCCCAGCACTCGGGAGGCAGAAGCAGGCGGATCTCTGTGAGTTCGAGGCCAGGCTGGACTGACAGCCTCCAAAAACAATACAGAGAAACCCTGTCTTGTAAAACCAAAAAAAAAAAAAAAAAGATATGTCTCAAAATGTGAACATCTGTGACCCAAATCCAAGAGCAACTACATACATAAAAGAAACATTACTAAAGATTAAATCATACATCAAACCATACACACTAATAGTAGAATATTTCAATACCACTCTCACCAATGCACAGGTCTGCCAGACAGAAACTTAACAGAGAACTAAGAGATGTCATGACTCAAATGGACTTAACAGACATCTATAGACAATTCCACCAACATACAAAAGAATATACCTTCTTATCAGAACCTCATCAAACCTCTAAAATTGATCACATCGAGCTTCTACAGAACTGAATAAATTTGAATAAGCCCCTGTATCTTATCAGATGACCATGGGTTAAAGTTAGAATTCATCATCAACATTAACTGCAGAAAGTCTGCAAACTCATGGCAATTGAACAATGCTCAACTTAATCATCACTGGGCAAAGGAAAAATAAATAAAGAAATTACAGACTCCCTAGAACTCAAATAAAATGAACGGACAACACTGAGAACAACAATTAATAATTGAGACCTCCTAAATCCGAGAAGCTTCTGTAAGGCAAAGAACACAGCCGGCAAGACCAAATGACAGCCTACAGAATAGGAAAGGGTCTCCACCAAGAGGACTGATCTTCACAAAATATACAAAGAACACAAGAAGGTAGACATCAAAATACCAAATAACCCAATAAAAATGGGGTCAGGTCTAAACAGAGAATTCTTAACAGAAGTACCCCAAATGGCCAAAAGACACTTAAGTGCCGAGGGCAGACCCAATCAGGGCAGCTCAACCCAGGTACTCAGGTGGACAAAGAGTCGGCGAGTAACAAAGAGACACAAACACAAGAGTGCCGAATCTGTGTAATTTCTCAAAGCATGCATCAGACTTTTATAATCATTACTTGAGGAAGTAAAAAAATTAATTTTGTACATATATCAAGGTACATTGAAGTCAGCAAAATTGACACACAATGCACATCATGAGACTAGAAATTCAAAATAGAAAATCAAATATATAAGAACTGGCAGTAGCCAGACAGTGGTTACAACATGATAACATCAGCTCTGTCTGAGACCAAACTATTCTTAAAATTGCTTCCCCTGTCTTATGGGCATATGCCCCAGCCATAGTCCCAATTCTTGGTCCGGTACTTAACACACCATGGCCTGCCTTTTTTAACTTTCTGGTCATACTATTTTGCTGTGCCTTGGATAATAGACGCCAAGGGGGTCTTGCTCCATCAAGCCTTTCCATGAAATTCAGGGTATGGTACAGCACATGTTATCCTCCTATATTTATCCACCTGTTATCATAAAGTGCAGTATAAGGAAGGAGAGCAGCTGTTGTCTGAAACATTTGAAGAAATTCCCTATTTACTGGAGGAGCCCACCATTGACCCCTGATTTTGTTGGTTTTGTTTGTGGCAAGGACATCATTGGTGGCCAGAGGAGGAACATATAATTTTACTGGACCTTCAATCAGATTGGACCCTTGAGGCATACTTATTCCTACAAAAGAAATTAATACCAAAAATGATAAGGTACAAAAACATCCACAGGTTATTGCTAGAACACATCCTTGATGTGGGATGGCAGGGACTTTCCAGGAGACCAGTTTCCATGAAACTTTTGCCTCAGGCCTGTGACCAAGTTTTTAGGCTTGTCATGCACACACCACTCGAGTGGGTGTGGCACTTAAGGAATTTCTCAACATCCTTAGCCATTGGGGAAATGCAAATCAAATAACCTCTGTGATACCATCTTACACTAGTTAGAATGGACAACATCAAAAACATCAATAATAGCTTATGATGGAGAGGATGTCAAGTAAGCAGAACAGTCCCCCATTGCTTCTGGGAGTGCAATTTTGTACAACCATTTGAAAATCAGTATGGTGGTTTCTCAGAAGGGTGGGAATCAATCTACCTTAACACCCAGCAAGACCACTCTCCAATAGATGCCCTCTCACATCACAAGGACATTTGCAGGCAAATGGATGAAACTAAAAGCAACCATCCTGTGTTTTGTAATCCACATCCAGAAGTTAAACATGATATGTACTCACTCATAATGGGTATTAATTAGATGTACAGCAGATGATTGCCATCCTGTATCCCAGGACCCCAGGGAAGCTAGGTAACAAGTAGAACCCAGAGAAAGGCATACTTGGATCCCCTTGGGAAAGGGAAGCAGACAAAATGGGAGCATGGTGAGGGGAGGAGATGGGAAGACAGAAGAAGGTAGGGGAGAAAAGGATGGGGGAGAACATGAGGGAACTGAATGCGGGAGATGGGAGAAGGACAGAGAGAGAGCAAGAAAGAGATATCTTATTTGAGGGAGTCATTATGGGGCTAGTGAGACACCTGGCAGTAGGGAAATTCCTGGGAATCCACAAAGATGTCCCCAACTAAGACCTTAAGCATTAGAAAGAGGGTACCTGAACTAATCTTTCCATGTAATCAGATTGATCACAACCTGCATTATCATAGAACTTTCATGCCGTTACTGATAGAGACAGATGTGGACATCCACAGCTAAGCACTGGCCAGATATCCCAAGTTTAGTTGACGAGAGGTAGGAGTCATAACATGAGCAAAGAGCTCAAGACCATGCTGGGTATATCCACAGAGACGGCAGACATGAGTTAGTGGGAGCTCACTGACTCCAGATTGACACCTGGGGAACTTGCACGGAAAGGAACTGGGCCCTCTGAATGTAGGTGACAGTTTTGTGACTTGGGCAGTTTGTGAGGCTACTGGCAGTGGAACCAGGATTTATCCCTAGTACTTGAACTGGCTTTTTGGATCCCATTATCTTTGTAGGGATACCTTGCTCAGGTTAGATATAGGGGTACGGCCTTGGTCTTATCCTGAAGAGATGTGCGAGCCTTTGTTGACTCCACATGGGACGCCTTACCCTCGCTGAGGAGTCAATGGGGCAGGTTGGAGGGAAGCTGGGGAGAGCAGGAGGAGGGAAGGAAGTGGGAACTGGAATTGGTATGTAAAATGAGAAAAGATAGTTATAAAATAAAAAAAATCAGGTTTAAAAAAAGGCATGTGCCACCATCACCTGCTAAGATAGAAGATTTAAAGCTTTTCAAGTACTTGAACATTATGTCACTAATAAATGAAATCCTTTCTGGAAGCTATTCCCACATTTTTAGAAACAAACACTTTGAAAGAAGTACATTCACATTTGGAGCATTCTTATTACTGGCTATTTCCATACACGAAATTTACTTTGCATTATGTTTTTATTAGGAAGGAAAGGTATTGTTTCTCTGGTTACTTCAGGTTATCTACTTACATCTCAAGTTTTGGAGGTAAGAACAACAAAAGAGAGAGACGAGATTTTTCACTATAAATTTGGGTTGT